ATGGTCTCAATCTCTTGACCTCGTGATCCGCCGACCTCAGCCTCCCAAAGTGCTGGGATTACAGGCGTGAGCCACCACGCCTGGCCTATTTTGTTTTTTTGATGGCAGCCATCCTAATTAGGTGTGAAGTGGTATCTCATTGTGATTTTGATTTGTATTTTCCTAATGATTAAACACCTTTCTGTGGTCTTATTGGCCATTTGTATATCCTCTTCGGAAAAATATCTCTTCAAGTCCTTTGCCTTCCCCTACCCACCCCCACTTTTTTTTTAGTCAGGGTCTTGCTCTGACATTCAGGCTGGAGTCTAGTGGCACCATCCTGGCTCACTGAAGCCTCAAACTCCTGGGCCTTAAGTGATCCTCCCACCTCAGCTCCTGAGTAGCAGAAACTATAGGTATGCACTACCACACAAAGCTAATTTTTTTTTAACTTTTTTTTTTTAAGAGACAAGGTCTCATTATGTTGCCTAGGCTAGTCTCAAACTCCTGGCCTCAAGGAATCCTCCCACCTCAAACTCCCCAGTAGTTGGGACTACAAGTATGAGCCATGGTGCCCAGATTTTGCTCATTTTTAAAATTGAGGCTGTATGCAGTGGCTCACGCCTATACTCCCAGCACTTTGGGAGGCCGAGGTGGGCAGATCACTTGGGGTCAGGAGTTCGAGACCAGCCTGGCCAACATGGTGAAACCTCATCTCTCCTACAAAGACAAAAATTAGCTGGGTATGGTGGTGTGTACCTGTAATCCCAGCTACTTGGGAGGCTGAGGCAGGAGAATTGCTGGAACCCAGGAGGCAGAGGTTGCAGTGAGCCGAGATCACACCACTGCACTCCAGCCCAGGTGACAGAGCAAGACTCTGTCCCCCGCCCCGCAAAAAAAAAAAAAAAAAAAAAAAAAAATTGAGTTGTTTACATGTTGTTGAGTTTCAGGAGTTCTCTATATATTCTGGATATTGATCCCTTATCAGATATGTGATTTGCAAATATCGCCTTCCATTCAGTCAAAGGGTTGCCTTTTTGCTCTGCTGATTGTGTCCTTTGGTGTGTAAAATTCTTAAATCTCAATGAAGTCCAATTTTCCTATTATTCTTTTGTTGTTTGTGCTTGGTGTCCTATCCAAGAAATAATTGCCAAATTCAATGTCATGAAGCTTGCCCATTTTCTTGTAACAGTTTTACATTTTACCTCTTATGTTTAGGTATTTGATCCATTTTTGAGTTAATTTCTGTATGTGCCATAAGGGTCCAACTTCATTCTTTTTTTTTTTTTTTGAGATGGAGTTTCACTCTTGCTGCCCAGGCTGCAGTGCAATGGCACAATCTTGGCTCACTGCAACCTCCACCTTCTGGGTTCAAGTGATTCTCCTGCCTCAGCCTCCTGAGTAGCTGGGATTACAGGCATGCACCACCATGCCTGGCTAATTTTGTATTTTTAGTAGAGATGAGGTTTCCTCCATTTTTGTCAGGCTGGTCTCGAGCTCCTGACCTTAGGTGATCCACCGCCTCGGCCTCCCAAAGTGCTGGGATTACAGGCGTGAGCCACTGCACCCAGCCTCAACTTCATTCTTTTGCATGTGTGTATTTAGCTTTTCCCAGAATCATTTGTTGAAAATACTCTCCTTTCTCCACTGAATTTTCTTGGCACTTTTGTCAAAAATCAATTGCCCACCATATGTAATTGTGTTTTTCTAAGCTCTTCTATTTCATTGGTCTTTGGTCTATACTATGTCAGTACCACACCGTTTTGATTACTGTCGCTTTGTAGCAGTTTTTGAAATCAGGTAGTGTGTCATTCAACTTTGCTCTTCTTTTTAAAGATTGTTTTGACTATTCAGTGTCCTTTGAAATTCCATGAATTTTATTCTGGTTTTTAAACAAATTATGTAAAAATGCCATTGGGCTTTTGATAAGAATTGCATTGCACCTGTAGATCAGTTTTAGTAGTAATGTTATCTTAACAATAATACATTTTCCACTCCTTGAACAGAGAATGTCTTTTTATTTATTTATTTATTTATTTTTTGAGACTGAGTCTGGCTCTGTCGCCCAGGCTGGAGTGCAGTGGCCGGATCTCAGCTCACTGCAAGCTCCGCCTCCCGGGTTTACGCCATTCTCCTGCCTCAGCCTCCCGAGTAGCTGGGACCACAGGCGCCCGCCACTTCGCCCGGCTAGTTTTTTGTATTTTTTTAGTAGAGATGGGGTTTCACCGTGTTAGCCAGGATGGTCTCGATCTCCTGACCTCGTGATCCGCCCGTCTCGGCCTCCCAAAGTGCTGGGATTATAGGCTTGAGCCACCGCTCCCGGCCTGTCTTTTTATTTATATCTTGTTTAATTTCTTTCAGCAAAGCTTTGTAGTTTTCAGTATACAAGTCTTTTGCCTCCTTGGTTAAATCTATTCCTAAGTATTTTATTCTTTTTGGTGCCATTATAAATATAACTGTTTCCTTAATGTTCTTTTCAGATTGTTCATTGCTAATGTATAGAAATGCAACTCGTTTTGTGTGTTCATTTTACATCCTGCAACTTTGTTGAAGTTGTTTATTAGCTCTAGCAGATTTTTTGTGGAATCCCATATATAAAATCATGTCATCTGAGAATAGAGATAATTTTACTTTTTTTTTTTCCTTTCTGTTTTGGAAACAGAGTCTCACTCTGTCGCCCAGACTGGAATGCAGTGGCGTGATCTCGGCTCACTTCAACCTCCGCCTCCTGGGCTCAAGCAAGTCTCCTGTTTCAGCCTCCCAAATAGCTGGGATTACAGGTGTGCACCACCATGCCCAGCTAATTTTTATATTTTTAGTAGAGACAGGCTTTCCCCATGTTGGCCAGGCTGATTTCGAACTCCTGACTTCAAGGGATCCACCCGCCTCGGCCTCCCAAAGTGGTGGGATTACAGGCATGAGCCACCGTGTGCAGCCTTTTTTTTTTCTTCCAATTTGAATGCTTTTTTTTCTTGCCTAAGAACAAAATTACTTTAAAAAATTACTTTGGCTAGAACTTTAGTACCAAGTTGAATAAAAGTGGTAAAAGTTGGCATTCTTGTCTTGTTTTTGATATTAGGGGAAAAGCTTTAAGTCTTTCACCACTGAATATATGTTAGTTATAGGTTTTCATATATGGCCTCTATCATGTTGAGAAAATTTCCTTACATTCCTATTTTAAGTGATTTTAACATGAATTTTGTCAAATGCTTTTTCTGCATCAATTGAGATGTTCAAAATGGATTTTAACATCTCTGAAATGAAGATATATTTTATAATCAATGGTATTTTAAGATTCTATGAACCACAATAACACATTTCATAATAATTGCTATAAAAAATAAGGATTGCGAGGCTGAGGTGAGAGGAGCACTTGAACCCAGGAGGTCGAGACTGCAGTGAGCCATGTTTGTGCCACTGCACTCCAGACTGGACAACAGAACAAGACCCTAACTTAATTAAAAAAAAAAGATTGAAGCCAGGCACTATGATACACACCTGCATGGTCCCAGCGGCTGAGGTAGGATGACTCCTTGAGCCCAGGAGTTTGAGGCCAGACTGGGCAATATAGCGAGGCCCTGTCTCTTAAAAAAGAAGATTGAGCATGGCTGGACAGGCGCAGAAGTGTGATTTTAGGTTGGGTGGTCAGGGAAGGTTTCCTTATGCAGATGACAGTTAAGCAGAGATCTAATTATTTAGAAGGAGACAGCCATGCAAAATTTGGAGCAAAAATATATTCATCAGGAGGAATAGTAAGTGTAAAAGCCTTGACTTGGAAGTAAGTTTGGCATGCTAAAGTAATGGCAAGAAACACAGTATATCTAGAGCATAGTGAGGAGGAAAAGAGTAGAACAAGATGAAATAGGTCCAGAGTACCTATAAAGGGCTGAGATGCTGAAATTTCTAAAGGCAGAGTGTTTTTGAGACTAAAGTTACTCACCAAAGAACATTTTTAAAACTCCCACATTTGCAAAGATGATATACACAAATCCTTTCTAGTTTCTATGACACTATTAATCCTTTATTCTGGCCATCTCAGTATATGAACGAGTTCTTGCTGAGTTCAATATTTTGGAAGCTAATCTAACCCTTTCATGAATTATTTTAAATCTTTGCATTTCCTGAAAAATTACTTTTCAGCCTTCTAAATATTAAAATATCTTATTGACATTGCTTCACTGAAAACCAGCCTTTGACTTATTTCTTTTAAAGAGTCAAGCAAAGTATTGTATTCCTGAGCAAAATCACACTCTCCAAGCAGACTCTTATTCTCCTAACTTACCAAAAAGGTGAGTACAATTTTATATATCTAAACGTTGACTAAATGTGTCTGGGAGATGAATCTCATGCTTATACATCATTGTGATGCTAGGAAGAGGCCTATTTGGAGTATGGTGTCATTATTACGCTTTCTTTTTGTTTTAGTACCATAAAAGCAGCAAAAATGATGAACCAACAAAGGACAAAAATGGAAAACACAGAATCTTCTTCCTTTGACTTTAGGACTTCTGAAATAAGTGCAAAGGAAGAGCTAGTTTTGCACCCTGCTAAATCAAGCACTTCTTTTGACTTTCTGGAGCTAAATTACGGTTTTGACAAAAATGCTGATACAACCATGAAACGGCAGACAAAGGCATTTCCAACAGTTGGGGAACCTCTTCAGAAGCATCAAAGTTTGGATTTGGGCTCTCTTTTGTTTGAGGCATGTTCTAATTCTAAACCTGTAAATGCAGCAGGAAGATATTTTGATTCAAAGGTGCCAATAACACGGACCAAATCAACTCCTTTTGAATTGATACAGCAGAGAGAAACCAAGGAGGTGGACAGCAAGGAAAACTTTTCTTATTTGGAATCTGAACCACATGATTCTTCTTTTGTAGAGATGCAGTCTCAAAAAGTAATGCATGTTTCTTCAGCAGAACTGAATTATTCACTGCCGTATGACTCTAAACACCAAATATGTAATGCCTCTAATGTGAAGCACCATGACTCTGGTGCTCTTGATGTATGTTCTTACATACCTTTAGTGGAAGATCCTTATTTTTCATCATGGCCTCCAAGTGGTACCGGTTCTAAGATGTCTCTTGATTTACCTGAGAAGCAAGATGGAACTGTTTTTCCTTCTTCTTTGTTGCCAACATCCTCTACATCCCTCTCCTCTTATTACAATTCACATGATTCTTTATCACTGAATTCTCCAACCAATATTTCCCCACTATTGAACCAAGAGTCTGCTGTACTAGGTAAGTTATTTTTTAAAGTTTGCATAGAATTTTAGGTTTCACTTTGTTTCTATAGAATATTTGGTTTCTTCTCATCTTCCCTCTTCTCTGCTTCTTCTCTTTCTTCTTTTTTTGAGATGGAGTCTTGCTCTGTCTCCAGGCTGGAGTGCAGTGGTGCGATCTTGGCTCACTGCAACCTCTGCCTCCTGGGTTCAAGCAATTCTCCTGCCTCAGCCTCCCGAGTAGCTGGGATTACAGGCGTGCACCACCACGCCCAGCTAATTTTTGTATTTTTAGTAGAGATGGGTTTTCACCATGTTGGCCAGGATGGTCTCGATCTCTTGACTTCGTGATCCCCCTGCCTTGGCCTCCAACATGCTGAGGTTGCAGGCGTGAGCCACTATGCCTGGCCTACTTCCTTCTCTTTCTTCTTCCCGCTACTCCTCAAATAAATACATCCCAGGAGTGTTTTAATGCTGTAAAAAGTTGAAAATAGCAACATCAAACATATAATATTCCATGAAACAGGCAGCAATGGAGGCAGTCAAGATCTGGTACAGGATCTGTACCAGCAGGAGTACTTCTAAAGAAGGCACGCCTCATTCCTAGAAATGTATATCAAAGGCCCACAATATACTGTTTTTCAAAAATATTTTTTGAAACAGAATCTCACTATGTTGCTCATGCTGGAGTGCAGTGGTGTGAACATTGCTCATTGCAGCCTTGATGTCCTGGGCTCAACCGATCCTCCCACCTCAGCTTCCCAAGCAGCTGGGACCACAGGGACATGCCACCATGCCCGGCAAATTTTTTTAGAAATGGGGTCTTGCTATGTTGCCCAGACTAGTCTCAAAAATCTGGCCTCAAGCAATCCTCCCACCTTGGCCTCCCAAAGTGCTGGGATTACAGGTGCAAGTCACCACACCTAGCTTCAGAATTTACTCTTAACATATAGAAGCAGCTTCCAAAAGAAGAGCAGAAAAAAATGTGATCAATAGCACCCAGAATTTTTGTTGCACAATTATGTGGCTAAAATGAGTTGAACATATTGCTAAAAACTGAATTCTCTTCCTGTGGGAGTTGGAAGGGGAGAACTTGATTTCTTGCTCTTTTGTAGTAATTTAGTAGATGAGAATACATGTTTATATTTTGTGTAAAAATTTTATCTTATGTATACCTTTACTTTCATGTTTTACCTTTTATAATTTTGTATTTTTGCATATCATGCATATTGTTCTGTTTTACTGATTAGTTTGAAAATAGAAATGAGCATCCTGTTAGAGATGATGACAATAATTTGATGTGGAAGATGATGAGGGAAAGCAAAGAACAAGTTTAACTCCCTTAGGTATATCATCAAATAATTTATAAAGCACATTCTACATAGACAGGAGGTGGAGAAAACTTTTGCTCTATAACATTATTTATTGTAGAGTTTCTTCATAAATAGTTGTATAAGATCATTTGTGGCTTTGCTGCAAAAATATCTGGATCTAAGAAGTTCCTTCTGTGATTAGATTATTTTATACATTTTTAACCATTTAAATGTATTTTCTTTTCTCAGATACTCAAAATATCTTAGACTTCTCTAAGCATCTGCATCATTAAAAAACAGAGCGAGACTCCATCTCAAAAAAATAAATAAAAAATAAACCCTTATTTTTCCAAGGATTGTAACAATATCGTCAAGTGCCATCTGGTGGCAGTTTCTTATAATAGCATTTAAAATGTTTAATAACTGGAATGTTTGTATAGAAATACAGAAGACTATCCTATACTATTGTTTTGTAAAATGGAAAAATACCTATATTTTTGGATTTTGTGTAGAATGAAGAGATACTAAAATCTTTATAATTTTACCTAATGTATAACTGAAGCTTTTACATATCAAAGCACTTTATAATGCTTTATTATATAGTCTATATAAAACAAAAGGAGTTATGCGAAAGGTAATTCAAAGCTTCCAAAATTAATGTAATATTTTATGTTAACTGATATACCATGACTCAATCAAAATACTTTTGAGCTTTTATTTATTTATTATTATTTTTTGAGACGGAGTCTCCTGCTGTCGCCCAGGCTGGAATGCAGTGGTGCAATCTCCTCTCACTGCAAGCTCCACCTCCCAGGTTCACAGCATTCTCCTGCCTCAGCCTCCTGAGTAGCTGGGACTACAGGCGCCTGCCACCGCGCCCACCACCATGCCCGGCTAATGTTTTGTATTTTTAGTAGAGACGGGGTTTCACCGTGTTAGCCAGGATGGTCTCGATCTCCTGACTTTGTGATCTGCCCGCCTTGACCTTCCAAAGTGCTCGGACTACAGGCCTGAATCACCACACCCAGCCCTACTTTTGAGCTTTTAAAACAAACAATAAACGTTAAAGAATAAGCAAAAACCTCGTGGGTTTGTACCTTAAGATAATTCATTTTGCTTTTTCCTCGAATGAACAAGTGCCAACTTTACTGATAATGGTGCTTCAACGGAATTTAAATATAAATTATGGTAAATTTATATTTAATATTAGAATATAAGAATTTCCTTTGGATTGTTCTAATTAACAATTGTTACAATATTTCTGACATTTTGGATAGCAACTGCTCCAAGGATAGATGATGAAATCCCCCCTCCACTTCCTGTACGGACACCTGAATCATTTATTGTGGTTGAGGAAGCTGGTGAGTACAGTCCAGTAAGTACAAAATAAAGTGTGGGTCGGGCATGGTGGCTCATGCCTTTAATTCCAGCACTTTGGGAGGCTGATGTGGGAGCCTTGAGTTGGAGGAGTTCATTGAGGCCAGGAGTTCAAGACTAGCCTGCACAACATGGTGAGACCTCATCTCTAAAAAAAAAATTTTTTTAAATTTAGCAGAGCAATGGCAGCATGCATGTGTAGTCCCAACTACTTGGATGGTGGAGGCGAGATGATCACTTGAGCCCAGGAGTTGGGGGCTGCAGTAAGCTGTGATTGTGCCACTGCACTCCAGTCTGGGTGACAGAGCAAGACCCTGTCTCAAAAAATAAAATGAAGTGTGAATTAACTAGATTACTTCTCAGTTCCTTTCAATGTTTTATGTACTATTTGCTGAACAACATTCGATTTCTAAAAGAATACTACCCCTAAGAACTGAAACATATTCACTTTCTTCCAGGAGAATTCTCACCAAGTATTTCCAAATCCTTATCCTCAGCTGTGAAGGCAAAAATTGGAACATCACTGGAATGGGATGGAGCATCTGAACCAAAGAAATTTGATGACTCTGTGAGACTTAGACCAAGCAAGGTCAATAATTTTTTAATGACTCTACTCATCTAGATTCAATAGACTACAGTTCTACTCCTTGTATTTTTAACACCCATCATTCAATAAATCCTAAGTACATACTAAATATAAAACAATGTGCTAGAGGATGTTGGGATAAAAAAGATGTATAAGACACAATTCTTGCCTTTAAGAAGCTTCTTGTCTAGTGGTAGAGATATAGGACGTGTACAAATCTTTATTTTTGCCTATATTTATTATAACAAAGCAAATATGATCAATGTCATATGAAAGATAAAGAATTTCAAGTGTGGGAGATGCCTCCAGGTTGGAAGTGATCAAGGAAGATTTAGTGAAAGAGGAAACATTTGAGCTGATTCTTGAAGGATAGTTAAGGCAAAAATAAATGTTTCATACTTAAGTAGGAAGCTTGTTCACTGTAGTCATCTGGTAGGCTGTATCATGTTAGCTGTGATAATATGTTATAGAGAATGACAGGTGTGCATATTACTTAAGATAAACCTTTTGGAATAGTGTGGTTGATGGTAAAGTCAGAGATGGTGGGGGGTTGTGGATTAAATAGAAAATAATTCTTGAAAGTAGACGTGTCCTGCTTCTGGAGGAAAAATAGAAGTGCATCTAAAAATGTTATGCATTTCTATATATTCTGTGAATCAATTATCTTAACATTTGAGAGACTGGAAAAATAATTAAACATTTTAAAGTACCTACAATTGCAATGCTGATAGGTAAATATTCTCTGCCTTTTAAATTATAATTCCAATGTACTAGTAATTATGATTGTCAATAATAACCACATATATTTATCTTAACAACTCCCAGAGGAAAGAACAATAATTCTTTCCAATGTTATGAAGTAACTTCAATTTCAATTTTCAGGGAAATGTTTTAGGTGGGACAGAAATAAGTCAGAAGGGGATCAATTTAGGACTAATTGCCATGGGATATAAAAAATCATCGTAAGAGTGAAGGATGCCATTTCCTAATTCAGCACACTTATGAATTAGGAAAAATAGGGTCTACATTTCATAATTATTTCTACAGCTATCTTAAATATAATTTCAAAAATGCCATTTTTTGCTTTGAGTTTGTATAATTCATACATATATTCTTCTTTCACTTTTCCTTTCTGTTTTTCTTTTAGAGTGTAAAACTCCGAAGTCCTAAATCAGGTAAAAGTTTCTCTTGGCTTTAGATGACATTTAGCCCTAAGATTGGAAGAATGGTTCGTTAAGTTTAGAGTAATTCACCTCAGGAAGTTACTTGGTTCCCATAATAGCTTCCAGTATTTATTGATTTATTTCTGGTTTTCCCGGACTAGAAATTTTGTTAAGAGCAAGGTGAAGACAGGATTTTAGAATTCTGTTCCTTAATATATAACCATTTAAAAATTATTTCAGAGAGAATCTTTTAAAACTTTGCAGCTTTTCCATTATATATATAGATTTTCCCACTGTTAACACTGTGATTCAAAAAATTATTTTTGGCCACTTAGTTCTTTAATTTGCTGTTGCCTTTCCAGTACTTTCCTGAGCTTTGCCGGTTTTATGCATTGAAGAACAAAAACTAATATTTATTGGGCACTTCCAGGTACTTTGTTTACATTATCACAGGTGGTAGTTGCCCTTAACATGTTTATTCATATTGTCATGTTATTCAAATACATATACAGACAATATAAGGGTTAAAAAACATGGGCTTTGCCAGGAGTTTCAGGCTGCAGTGAGCTATAATGGCACCACTGCACCCGGCCTGTATGACAGAGCAAGATGCTGTCTCTAAAAACCATGACAATAGGCCAGGAGCCGTGGCTCACGCCTGTAATCCCAGCACTTTGGGAGGCTGAGGCTGGCGGATCACGTGGTCAGGAGATTGAGACCATCCTGGCCAACATGGTGAAACCCCATCTCTACTAAAAATACAAAAATTAGCTGGGCTTGGTGGCACGCGCCTGTAGTCCCAGCTACTCGGGAGGCTGAGGCAGGAGAATCGCTTGAACCTGGGAGGCGGAGGTTGCACTGAGCCGAGATCACGCCACTGCACTCCAGCCTGGGTGACAGAGTGAGACTCCATCTCAAAAACAAAGCAAAACAAAACAAAACATGACAACAAAAACATGGGCTTTAAAGTCAGATAGGCTTTAAGTCAAATCCCCAGTCTACGAACTATCAGCATGCATAAAGTTGGTTAAATTACATACTTTCTCCATCTATTTTTCTCATTTATAAAAGGAGAATAGAATCCCTTAGATAATTTTTATGAGGATTAAATACAATAATGTCATAAAGCTTATAGCCCAGTACTTGTCAAATAAGTCCTCATTAAATATTATCAATTATAATTTTTATTAATCATTAAATGAGCATTTTACTAAGCAACTTCTGTGTACCTTACATGGTGTTAGAATAGGCACGATGTATAAGAGTACTACTTAATGCTTATATTCAAATTCAGTAGATAAGATTAATACTCACATGGAACCACTAAGTGATAATCTGTGTGGTACCCACTGTAATCACCAGCAGTCTGGAAAAACAGGATGGCATTACTGGAGTGGTTAGGAAAGGCTTTGCTGAGTGGAAGAAAGAACTTTAAATAATTTGTATAGACAGAAAGAAAAAAGGAGGGAACTCCAGCAGCAGGGATCAGCCTAACAATGACTCAAAGGTAGAAATGAGCATGATGTGTATGGAGAAATGGTGAGTAGGCTATTTTTTATTGCAATAGATATTCTAGTTTGTGAAATACAGAAAATAAATTTGGGTAAATAAGATGTGAGGCAAGATTCTGAAGGACTTAAAAAAGCCAGTCAGATGAAATACCCAGAATAGACAGATCCATAAAGATAGAAGCAGGTTAGTGATTGCCAGGGGCTGGGAGAAAGAGGAAAATAGGGAGTGATGGCCTTATGGGTGCAGAGTTTCCTTCTAGGGTGCTGAAAAATATTCTGGAACTAAACAGTGGTGATGGTTGTACAATACTGTGAATATGCTAAATGTCACTAATGGCAAATCCTATGTGTATTTTACTACATACACCCAAAGTTAGGCAGAGGAATTTAGATTTAATGCAGTAAGTAACAGGCATTATGGGTTCTTTGTCAGGGGAATATTAAGATGAAATGAAAATTTAGGGAAATATTTACTAGAATACTGTTAACGAACAACTTTAGTTTTCAAAATATTCCCTAACAGCAAACTGGAAGATGATGAACTACTTCAGAATAGTTATTAAGTATTTATTAAATGCCTACTGTATGCCAGTTATTTTATTAGGTGCTAGAAATAAGTACTACACTTGTGTGTATTACCCAGCATGTAAGAAATAAGACAATTTATTGATAAGACAAATTCTAAGGACTAAACAAACCCAGTGACCAATGACATGTGAACCTCTCGTACTTTACTGCATTTTCATTTTCAAAAGGAATTAATATAATAATACTCAGCACCATACAATGAGATGCTTATGTCAGTAGAATACCATCTGTATCTTTAGAAATTTACATCATGGGAAAATATGTCCATTATTGAACATCTTCATCATGGAAAATTTCAAACACATTTAAAACCTACCATGATACCATTATCACACCAATAAAGCTAATAATAATTCCTTAATAGTAACTAATATCCAGACTGTTCAGTTTTCAATTGTCTCAAAAATATCTTTTTACAGTTGGTTTATTCAAATATGGATTCAAACAAAATCTAAACATTGCATTTGGTTTACATGTTTGTCTTCTTAAATCTGTCTTTTGAAATCTCTAACAGTTCTCCCTTCTTTTTTTGTATTTTCTTTTTAAATATATAACAGTTCTCCTTTCTATGCTTTTCACACCATTTATTTGTTGAAAAGAGTCAGTCATTTTTCTTAAAAGACTGCTTAACATTCTAGATTTGGCTAATTGTATCATGATGGTTTTATTTAACATGTTCCTCTATCCCAAATATTTCATGCAAAATGGTTGTTAGATCTAGAAGCTTGATTATATGTGGCTTCAGTGTCTTTGGGAGAATACTTCGGAAGTGAGCTATATATTTTTGATGAATCATAGGCTCACTGGCTAACGAGGCAGAAAAACAAAGTTCTTGAGGCTCCAGTCATTTTTCAGATAATATTTTATTTGGTGATTTTTGGTTAAGATTCATTGATTAAAAAATTATACAAAGAGAAAAGGGTGTTGACTTATGACTTTTAATTGATAGATTTCTCTGGTTTGTTGTATACTTTCTTATCACAGAACTACATCAAGATCGTTCTTCTCCCCCACCTCCTCTCCCAGAAAGAACTCTAGAGTCCTTCTTTCTTGCCGATGAAGATTGTAAGTGGTAGTACTTTCTCTCAAAAAAATCATAAAAATGAAAATGTTAAAAGATTAACAATAAAGTAGGACCTAAATGAAAAGGTACAAAAATGATTACACAAAAGAAAACATTTTAAAAGCCCATAACATATAGTCAAAATAATGCCTAAAAAAGCCAAGCTAATAATTTACTATATGTAACATGAAGGCTTAAGAAGGTATGCAATGAAACATGTTTTTCTCCTTTTTTTTTTTTTTAAGGTATGCAGGCCCAATCTATAGAAACATATTCTACTAGCTGTCCTGACACCATGGAAAATTCAACATCTTCAAAACAGACACTGAAGACTCCTGGAAAAAGTTTCACACGGAGTAAGGTAAAGAAGATAAGAGTTTTGGGAAACATGCCAGAAGCTTTCTCTTACTGCAAGTTTCCCCCCTCCCCAGCATTGAGATGGAAAATTAGATTAAATATCTTTACTAAAACTAATTGTTGATATTATAACAATCAAAATTAATAGAAGGAAACCAAAAAGAAGAAAAAATACAACTTAAAGATTCATTTTTCAGAGACAGAGGACCAGAAAAAATACCTATTGGGTACTATGCTTATTACCTGGGTGACAAAATTATCTGTACAGCAAACCCTTGTGACACACAGTTTACCTATATAACAAACTGGCACACGTACCTGTGAACCTAAAATAAAAATTAAAAAATAAAAATAAAAAGAAATGAAGAAAAAAGAATCCACTTCTCTCTAAGGTTGATTTATAAATGTAAAAGATGCCCAATGAAACTACCAACTTGTTTATTTCTGCAACTATATAAACTGATTTCAAAGTTCATATGGGAGTAGGGGGAAGCAAGAATAGTCAGAAACCTGCAAATAAATAATAAATAAAAATAGTTCAGATAAATGTCTTTCTAAAATAATTTTTAAAGATAAAAATAAATAAAAAGAAAAGCAATAAACGAGTCACCTTAGCAGATATTCAAATATGGTAAGTCCCAGCCTTTGGGAGGCCAAGGCGGGCGGATCACTTGAGCTCAGGATTCAAGACTAGCCTGGGCAACATGGCAAAACCCCGTCTCTATCAAAAATACAAAAAATTAGCTGGGCATAGTGGTGTGCGCCTGTGGTCCCAGCTACTCAGGAGGCTGAGGTGGAAGGATTGGTTGAGCCTGGAAGGTGGAGGCTGCAGAGACTGCACCACTGCACTCCAGCCTGGGTGACAGAGTGAGATGTCATCTCAAAAATATAAATGTAAAAAATAAAATGGCATGATATTAGTGTATAAAAAGAAACATATACCAGCAGAGTAAAAGGGAAAGTTCTGAAATAGATCCAAATATATGTAGAAATTTAGTATATAATGAAGGTGGTATCTCAAAATCAGGGGATAAAGATGGATGGTTTAATAACTGTTGTTGGATCAAATAGATAACCACCTGAAAAAAAAGCAGGGTCTATTCCTTATATCTATACCAGGATAAATTCTAAATGGCTAAAAGATGAAAATATTAAAAAAAACAAAAACCTTAAAAAAACCTGGAAAGAGTCTTTTATAACCTGGGAGTGTGAATGACCTTTATAACTATGACTCAAAATCCAGAGGCCATAAGAAAAGAGATAGATAAATTCAGCTAAATAAAAGAGAAAATTTATGCATGGCAAAACAATCACCTTAAAAAAATCTAAACAATCATTTTAAACAAATCACCTTAAAATCAAAAAACAAAGAACAAATTGGAGGAAAAAAAATCTGCAACTGGCACCACAGCCAAAGGGGTTATTACTCTAATACACAAAGAACTGTTAGAAATTCATGGAAAATAACCCCCAAATAAAAATGGGCAAAAATATGGGATCAGATGGTTTGAAGAAAATAAATGAGCGTGGTATGCCCTTTAAACATTTGATATGTTCAATCTCATTCATAATGAAAAAATTATAAATTAAAACCACAATGACATATGGCTTTTCATCTATCAGAATGGTAAATTCCAAAAGTTTGATTGCATTCTCCGTTAGGAAGACTATGGGGAAATAAGCACACTCATTGTTGTTGGTGAGAATGTCAAGTGGTACAACTTCCTTTTAAAATTTTTTTTTAAAAATTAGAGATGGGGTCTCCCTATGTTGCCAACTTCTGGACTCAAGCAATCCTCCTGCCTTGGCCTCCCAAAATGCTGGAATTACAGGTGTGAGCCACTGTACCCAGCCTGCTACAACTTCTATGAAGGGCAATTTAGAAATATCAAAATTACAAATGCATGTATCCTTTACTCAACAATTTCACTAGAAGTGAAATTTATCCTACAAATGTGCTTGCATATACATGAAATAACATGTATACCAAGTATTCATTGCAGCATTATCTGTAAGAGCAGATGACTGGAAACAACATAATTAATAGTGTTAATTGTTAGGGGAACTGATTAAATAAATCATAAATCATGTTATATCCATACAAATGGAATACTGTGCAGCTAAAAAAGAATTAGGACTTTCTCAATATATTTATATATAATTTATTAACTTTTACTTAAAAAGAGGAATATGATACATATGTGTATTTATATATTCATAAGTAACTCTGGAAGGATACTAACTATAGAGGATGAAAAACTAACAGTGGTTATCTACAGGAGGAACATTAGAAACTGAGTAGATTGAAGACAAGGATGGGAGCATTTTTACTAGGATTTCCTGACTTGTAAATAAATCATCTATTTTTTAAAAAATAACTAAAAATGTTACAAATTAAGAATTTATTAAATATCTATTCCAAGGAAGAGCACATTTCTGTTCAGTGTTAGGAAAATAGAAAAGTCATAAAGGATAACTATTTGCCCTTGAAAATAGTATAGTTAATCTGCTGGAACAGAACACCTTTGAGGAACATGAAAATTATCAAGAAGAATAAAATGCCATGAAGCAGATTAAAAACATACATGCTGAAGAAATGTGGAGTAAAGAAGAAATTTGGGTAGGTTCCTTGAAGAGATTAATTAGAGACACCACCATAAAAGTGAGGGAAGGAAGTATGGCTAACAGTATGGAAGGAGGCCTTAGTAAATTGAATATAGAATATGACTGGCAAAAATTCTTGGCTAGAATGAAAATGGCTGTGTATCATGGATATATTCAGAAGCCACTGTGGGTTCTGAAATGGTCCTAATAAAGGAGAGAAGTGGGAATTTCATCCCCTCTACC